AAAAGTCATCTTCACAGAGCTCGTCCGCCATGAAAGAACTGACAGAAGCTTCGCAGCCAGCCTATAAATTAAGACAGATGTAAAGAAGAAGATTTTTGTTGATGGATCGAGTTGTAACAGAGACAATAAGGAAAAGGAAATGTAAAGCTTGAGAAAATTGTGAAGACTAATTGAAGACTATCATTTGATGAATATTTTCAGGTATGTTTGCAATGACAAAATTGTTAAAGATTGTTTGTCGTTATTAATTTATGTTATTTGCTTGGAATTATGATATTTGGCAGAAATGTTATTTCACTTTACCTTTTAATAATTTTTTTTTTTTTGTGTATTAATTAGTTAATCACATCCATGTGTTTCTAAAAATATGATTAGTATATGTGGGTTGTGTTTTCATTTTGATCCTTATTCCTTAATTGTAGATTTTCAATATGTTAATATTCAATAAACGACTCATATATCCCAATTCGCTCTACCTTAATTCCTCCTCTGTTAGGCGGTCCAGGAAAGGTTCCGGTTAGCTTCTGGATTGGTTCATGGCTCGGGTTCATCTTCAGTTAGGCGGTATCGGTAATTTCAGGAGCGGGCCCTCGCGTCGTGGATCTCTCTTCGGTTGACTGTTTAGCTGCCAGTACGGCTCGGTAGATCTGATGTGGAAGGGCTCGTTTATGTTTAGTTGTTGTTGTTTTGTGTCCTTTTAGGTGTGTTCTTGTTGTTCTTTGTTAGGGTTCATATTTTTTGTTTGGGCCTTCGGCGCCTATATATGTCCGAGTGTGAGCGGGTATATCCTCATTTTTGGGAGCTTAGTGGTGTTTGTTGTGTTGTGAGTGTTGTGGTGTGGTTTCTAACGTTGCTACTGCCGGCTTTAGGCGGTCTTCGTATTTGTCCTCCCAGTTTTTTCAGTTGTTAGTTATTTCATTCAGCTAGGGGTTGTATCTTTGCACATTTGTGCATTTTTAGTTACAAAACCTCTATCGTTTTGAAAAAAAAAATAATAATGTTTTTTTTTATATTCAATTAGTTTAAAATAAACGCGTTTGCATATAATAAACACTTGCATATACAAAACCTTGCTAAAAAATTCAAATTGGCAATGAAAAATTTCAGATATCTACAAATAATAAAATATTTGTTTAA